AGTACACTGCTGTATTGATAAATTTTCAGCCTTATCCGTCTTAAAGAACGTGGCGTAGTATCCTGCCTCCAACGTCGTACGCAAGCTTTATCGGTGACCTGCGAAGGTTCGTCTCCTCGAGCGTTGGCTTTAGGTGGAGCGGCACCGGCATTCTTGTTACTGGTTTTCGGGTACATGCTGGCTACTTTGATTTTGATTCTTGAGAGGTAAGTCTTTTTCTTACCTTGTTTGACTTGTGGTGATTCCAAAGTCTGTATGAGAGTTCGCTGATAAAACAGTTGACGTATTTATCATATACTATGCTGATGATTAATTAATAATCAACCAATCAATCAATTTAACCATGGGCGTGGTCTTAATTAGAAATTCAAAAAAATCCTCTCGGCCGTCTGACCGCGCACTTGTTGTATGGGATATTAATTTCATTATTATCATTTTCAGCTGAAAGACAGTTGGATCCTTTTGATAAGATGCATATCAGAAACAAGAATCTATTGAAACTTCTTACAATATAATACGAATCAGATTTACTCAGAGGTACTTCTATGAATGCAATAGATTTTCCTTTTTCAGATTTGCGATGAAGCAGAAAACTAGACGGCGTAAATAAGCAAGAAAAAACATAGAAAACTATTTATTAATTACTTTACTCACCACCACAACGAATCCTAACGTAGAATGCACCAGGTCTCAAAGACCAATTACAAATAAAGATGTTTATTTTCTTTTCTTCTCAAATTTTTAATGCAACTAACTTCCAATGTATCTGAAGAACAAGATTGCTCTTTTTTTGACACTGAGTCATGAAGTAATCTGATATGGTAAAAGTGTCTAGATTTGGACCTCCGGCATTTAAAGAACTCATTCCACTAACAATACAAACTTTCATGTAGAAAATTCAATAATGTTACCAACGTGTCATGATCCAAAAGGAATGTCCTAAGCATGTTCTATTGAATTACGAGTAAAGATGTTAAGTATAACGAAATAGATATAGCCGTAATCATAATTTTACATTTCAGTTGACCTCTTCCTTAATTTCAATTTCTAAGTTACGTATATTTGTAAATGTTAGCAGTAATACTACTTGCTACAGAAAGCAAAAGATAATGAAACCGGCACGTCAAAGGAAGTTTAAAAGCCTCGAAAGACATTTAAAGTCCACAACTTTGCAGGCTATGACCAAGAATTTCTGGACAAGGAGACTCGACTCATGTTGAAAATAGGTTCTGCTAACACACCCAAAATGTAGTTTTCTAAATACAGCCATGAATAAAGCCTTCGTAAGGTCTCCAATTTACAATATATTAAAGGTAAACGTTCCACCTACGCTATATGTATTAGTAAATAATCCTATTTTATTATATACTTTGTCGGCGGTCGTCAGTTACGACATGGTTACGACCTAATTGAGCTAGCTACAGGCAAATGCAAGAAATGTCAAACTTTGCCGCCTCGACCTCGAATTTCTAATATGCTTTAATTACTTTTGTAAAGGGTTGTCAACATGGAGACTTTTAAACATTATATCGCACCCCTCATTGAAGAAAGGCATTACACCGAAAAACATGACTTTAATCTAATGGAATCAATTATAACACGATTCAATTTATTCAAATGACGGCTGGAATCACTAAAATTCTGACAACAATCAGCCTAAGAGGCGAACCTCCAGACGAACTCACCATCTTATAGATAGATAGATTACTTGTTTATTTCCTGAATCACAGTACATTACAAACAAACTTATGACATAGGTACAATGGTAATCATAAAGAAAAAGGCAAGTCTAGGTTGGTCTGGAGTGTTATAATGTATTAGGTCTACACCTAATAAATTATAACACTCCAACAACATTATGACAACAGTACTGTAGCTGGCTGCCCTGATCTCAACACGTTGCGCACGATCCCTCCAATACGAGCCAAACCATACTATCGCAGAATCATCATAACCATATAACGCCATTTTGGAAAGAAGAAGTTGGTGGTTAATGCAATCGAATGCCCTTGAGTAATCCAGTAAGAGAAGGACAGTAGCTTTGCCTTTGTCTTGATACATTCATGAAATGGGAGTTGATTTTCGGGGGGTCTAGAAGACATTGTGGCAGCTCATGGTTTTTTTCGGATCTGAGAGAATAGTACTTTTTAGATTTTTCCAGAGAACTTTAGGCATTTTGACGTTTTTGCTGACAAATTGACCAAAATACGCTTTACGTTCAGCAAAAAGGCAAGCGTTAATATTCTTTTTTAGATTTTTGTAATAAACACCGTGTTCAACTAGGCCAGTCATACGATACCTCTCCTTAGCCTCATCATGTAGCTGTATTTGATAGCGGATATTGCTAGTGATCCATGAACTTGGGTGGTCACGTATAGTAATGGTTAGAGTAGGCGCATGTACTTCAAATTATTGAGTAATACGGCTTGAGAACGAGGACACCATCATCAACATTGTCTAAAAGGAGTATATCACAAAGATTCGATCCAAACAAGTCGTCATTAAAATCATCGATGTTAATGTATTTAATAGGTCTGAAAGTTATTGTTTTACGAGGGATTTTATTTCTCTTTGTTTTAAAACAGGCCGTGATAAAAGCATGCGCTCCCAAATCCTGAATGCGTTCTACATCGATTTTCAAAACGGTGGTGTCAGTGCAGAGCAGATCAATTATAGTTTAACTGTGTGTGGTAATTTGTTAAATCAAAATGTTGCAAAAATCATTCAGCTGCTTATATTTGCTATCCTTTTTATAGTTCAGATCTATATTAAAATCACCTAACAAAATTACTCGGTAAAAATTATTAAAAGAGGATAGTGAATCTGTTAAGGCATCAAAAAATATTACAATATTAAGCCAGTGTGGACGATAAGCAGTCCCTACAAGAACAAGCGTCGAGCACGCGGTCAAACAGATCCACATTTGATCCACATGTGATGTTGATACTGGGTGAGGAACAGTACGCACAGCGAGACACTGTCTGACATAAAACCCGACACCTCCTCCGCGTTTACGTTCCATAGTTGGCGGACGTGGAAGGTGACGCAACCGATACCCCGGTGGCGCGAGCGCACGACTCTCTTCACCAGTTTGAAGCCAAGTTTCATTGATAGCAAGTATGTCGGGAGCTATGCGAGCTAAGGCCACTAGAAAGTGATCCAGCATTAAAGAGACTAATTGTTATATTTTTGGTTTTATTTATTTTTGATCAAGAACTTAAAGGAAACATTCCTTTATTTTTTTAAAGAAATAAAACTGCATTCAAAGATTTTCGAAAATTTCTAGCAACACGCGGGAATCGCACCCGCTTTTATCTGAAAAAAATGCAATAAAAGTGCAGGTTATTGCATCGATCGATAGGGTTAATTATAAGAATAAAATCTCTCTCACAAAATTGGTTAATTAAATGAAAAAAAAAACAACGAAATCTTGACGTATTTTAATAAAACGAAAAAAATGGTAATGGTAAAACTAATTAGTTGCTCGAAATGAGCTCCATTTTCTTGGATACACAAATTTAATCTTTTAACCAATTCATTTTGAGTACCTTTTAATAACGTGTTGTGATGAATTGTATTACAAATCGTATTCTGAACCTCAGCCTTGTTAACTAATTAGTTAGATTACCATTTTTTTCGTTTTATTAAAATACGTTAAGATTTCATGGTTTTTTTTTTTTTTCATTTAATCAATTAAATTTGCGAGAGAGATTTTATTCTTATAATTAACCCTATCGATACAATGAAAGTGCAGGGTGCATTTTTTTCAGATTAAAGCGGGTTCGATTCCCGCGTGTTGCAAGAAATTTTCGAAAATCTATGAATGCAGTTTTATTTCTTTTAAAAAATAAAGGAATGTTTACTTTAAGTAAAAATTTCTATCTCCAGTATTTAGAGTACTTTCCCTCCAGGTGGCATTACAAATTTCCACCCTGTATATACATATAAAATTCTGCCATAGTTCTGTAAATAAAAATGTGGCGTTAATGTTAATTAAAATAACATTTATTATCAAATTGTTATTATATAATTGTTGTTATTATTGTTATACCCATCATCTCAGAGTACATATTTATAAAAAATTCTACACTAGATAGATCTGGAAGTGATTAAATAAATGAATAAGTGTTTTTTTATTTATTTGATCAGTATATTATGTGAATGTGTATAAAGATGTGTTGCAAACGATTAAACACAATGAATAAATGTTAACTAAATACTATTTTATATCATGGAAAAAAAGAGTGAATGTAAAATACTCACATAAATTCGTATCTAGTCATTGACTTACAAATAAATGGACGACGGGTCTAATACAAAAACCACGAAAAAAATGTCCCGAGTCAACCTATTCGAAATTTAAATTGTAATGTCATCGCAGTATCGCGCTGTCAGTCGAACAAATGAAGACTATGACGCTCTGTATACGATTTTAACGCCTTACAAGTTCGGACACTTTTTAGCGCGGACACGACGTCCATATAATTGTAAGTCAATGTATCTAGTGTGTAAAATTTTAAGCAAACACAATCAAAAAAGGTTTTACTCAACAAAGACCAGTCCGTAGATAAGGTTACAAATATGGCTCGGTTTCACGATCGGCCGACGAAGACGCGAGAATGCGAACAATGTCTTCATGAGTGCGCAGATGATATATTGGAGAGTCAGTAGTACGCCTTGCAAGTACACGCCCGTCCGTAGTCCATAGAAACTTCCAACGAGCTAATTTATTATTTTTGGCAGCATCAAGGGCCTTGGCGAAGAGAATTCTGTTGGCTTTAGTTAAACTTTCATTTATGTAGAATTTCTTGGGTACATGACGCGGGAGTCCTAAATTGTCTATAGTAGCGCCTCGGCGTACACAATCTTCTTCTTCTTCTTATCGTGTCGATGGCATACACTGAAATGTTGCCATCGTAATGAAAGGATTTGTCACAATAATCGGAAGACAAACTAGTGGAGTAATTTCACAAAAAATAATTGAATATCAATTCTATAAAAATTTAATTAATACAGTGAATAGCGACATTTCTCGCCAGGACTGGTAGCTGTAAAGGTACTAACTGGGTGATAAATCTGTAATAGATTTCTCATAGATGGCGCTACGACTAAAAAGTCGTTGAAAGACCAAGTACAAAGACACGACGCAAGCACATAGAAAAATTCGTGAGGTCCGTTGGTTCGTTCCGTGGCTTAGTTGGTATAGCGTC